AAAAAAAAAAAAAAAAAAAAAAAAAAAAAACCCTTAAACCCGGTCGTGTGGCGAAGACCTCAGCGACGTTGGCGAACATGCACCAACCCTCTCGCCGCCCTCTCTCCGCACTCTCCTCTCCCCTCTCCCCTCTGCCCTCTCCGCTCTCCCGTCGTCAAGTCTCGCCTCTCCTCCCCTGGGGCAAGGTCCCACTCGCAAACAGGATTGGATTGAAGGTCTGAATCTGGACGTGTATGCCGAGAGGTGCACAAACTCACGATAGATCTGCCTTTCTGCATCTCTGCGTAAACCACGTCCAGATTCAGGCGGTTCATCCAATCCTCTCTTGCAGGTGGGACCTCGCCCCCTGTCTTCTTTTTTTTTTTTTTTTTTTCCGCCCCCTGGTCTTTTCCTTGGCCACATTTCCATTCCTTTCACTCCAGCCCTGAACCGGGGCAAGGTCCCACTTTCACGGTGATTAAGAGATGCTGGCCGTTGATCTTTGCTATCTACGGTCAATATCGCTTACTTCGTGTAAGTGGGACCTAGCCCCCGCTCCCTGGTCTGGCCTCTGATTTGCGGAGCAGCGAACGGCCACAACGTGGCGTATAGACCATTCCCGGAAATGGGTATAAGATTGACACCCAAGATAACCAATCTAGGAGCAGGGTAGCGTGAAGCAGCCGAAGGAAGGGCCATACAGAGGATCTCGACCCAGCATCGTGATCCTTGCTAACTTGCTGCCCCTTCGCCACAAGCATCTGCTTCCCCTCCCTCTCCTCAGCCATAGCTCTTTTACTTGGGCAGCTTGCTTGTCTCTCTCTCCGTCTGGCTGTGCTGTTGGCATTGGTAGCAGCTGAAGGAGGACGGCTCCATTCCCCTCGACTGCAGTGTGTCCCTACCTCGTTCTGCACGCCCAAGGCACGGTCTTGAGCCATAGCCGTCGTTAGGTTAACCAAGGCGACAGCTTTGTGCGTTGAGCCTTGAGCATCGAGCTTGAGAATGGCGCAGTCTTTGTTTGTGGTGGGAAACTGCAGTGCCGCCATAGCCGCAGCTTCTGCGCACATCTGTGCCGCGTCACGGACCTGCGCTGCAGATCGCGTGAACTCCCTCCCTTCCCTTTCCCTTGGCGCTTCTAAATTTGCCGCCGGAGGATTGACCTACCGGTCGCCGTCCCTGGTTTTCCTGCGCAATGCCTGCAATGCCTCGGTCGCCCACTCCTCCCGAGCTTTCGAGAGTTCCACCGTCCGGGCTGCAAAGGTATACTCTTTCTCCTCCCTCCCCCCC